TAAAATACCTCTAGACTCTAAATGATGATTATAAAATGTAAAATATAGAAAGGACTAATTATAATGATAAATTATTATACTTATTAAGTATAACAAATATATTTAAACCGAAAAGATACTACTAAAGTATAACAAGAAAGGAAGCTAACTTGTGCAATTTACAATAATAATCCCTCAGTAAGGGTACTCCAAATTTCAGCTTCCTTAGCTAGTTTTCCCATTCAAGCTTTTTGTGTATAATTTTTTATTTTTTTTCTTTCTGGCACTTGCTGACAAAAAACTTTGCCTGGCAGACAACAGCGTACTTCTGCTCTTGCTGTTGTTTTTGTCGCTGCTGTTGCAATTATTATTGTTGGCACTTTTGAGCCGCCGTTGTAGCTGTTGTTGTTCTTGCTGCTGCTAAGTAATAAGCAACCGCAACAGCAAGTACCAACAAAAACATCAGTTAGTAGCGAAATCAGTGCAGAAGTGTCGACAAACGAAAATGTAATAAAATTGTTGGCAAACTTCCGAAGCGCGACGAGTGCCAAGAGGAAAATGGTGGAAAACACACACACACATCCAGACACCGGCACGACGGCAAGCAGGTGTAATTGAATGGCCTAGACTTCCGCTTTCCCGCGTTTTCCCCCGGGAAACTCTTCCGCTTTTGGCACGAGGCTTGAAGTGAGCAGCGTGCGGCAGGACCAAGGATTTTCCTCACGAAAATTTCATATGCATTGTGCGCGAGCATTAAATGTGATAATTGTATTAATTGCGCAATGGTTTCCCACAAAAGCCAAGGAAAACAATGTGGCCGGGACGGAAGCAGACAATTGGGTGAATTTAAATATCAAAGGGAGAAGGGTGTTAAGAAGGATTAGCTGGGAAAGCACTTTAAGCTGCTGCCAAGAAATTTAACATGTATCCCAAGGATAATTTAAATAACTAAATTAAATAATGTTATTACTAGACTAGCCTAGAACTTAATTACCAAAACTAAATAACCATTTAAAATAAGGAAGCTGGACTTAATTACCATTTAATATAGGCCATCAAATGGGATTCTAGCCAGTTTATGGCCTACTCAGTGAGGAAAAGTCACGCCTGCGGACTCTGAAGCAGCAACTTCAAAGGCTTGCAAAAGCCTTCGGGGATAAATGCTAATTTGATATTTTATTGACTTGGCCAAGGAAACGCGCCACAGACACTTTAAAATTAAATGCAAATTTGCCAAGGAGCAACAGACAAGCGAACCTGGTGGAGTCATTTATCATCCTGCCAGGCATAGCGATTCCCTTAAGCTTTGGTCGCGACGATGGCGGACAGTTGACAGCCCGCAAATCCTAGGCGGATAACCAAGGCGTTGACACGGGATTACTTCCAGTTTAAAGCGTCTCTCGGCTTGCCAAGCCTAAAGCTGGGACTGCAACTGACCAGCAAATGAGATCAAGGCAATCACTAGGCTCAAAGCCTGGAACCAAATCGATGCCAACAAATTGATTGCCGTTGGGAAATCGGCAATTTCTGATTAAAATATGTAAATTTCTGGCAACAAAAATTGAGCCAGAGATTCGGGCTCTTCAAAGGGGAATGATTACAGAGACGAAACATTTTCCGAGAGCACTGCACAAATTATGAGAAATCAAAAACGTGAAATGGAAACCAAGGCAACAGCATCCGTAAGTGTCCCCACAATTTCCCTCGATGTCCATTTGCAATCTGGCATCTCAATGGCTTTCCTATCATCGGGAACCCATCTCTGAGTCCTTTTCAGCCCCTCCAACTCCTCCTCTTGATTGGCCTGCGCGATTTCTTGAGCGGATCAACGCAGTGGCAAAACAAACTTATATACCATCCCCCGGAACCCCCTTACATCTTCAACAGCCTAAGACCCGTAAACAGCTCGAAGCCGTTGCTAACAAGTCTAAGCCTTTGCGGAAGGCTTCTGGCCCGACAAATGATTCTGGCAGAAGCGAGAAAGTAAGAAGGAAGCCGCAATAAAAACATGGAATATGGTTGGGAAAAGTGGTAAGAGGGAGGATTGGTTAGCGATTGCAATTGAATTCAAATTCCGACATTCCACTTCAAAGTCAGGATGAAACCGAGACGAGCAGCTCCCGCTCTGGATGGAGCTTCGTCTCCGATTCCAGCTTCAAGAGAGTCCTCCCGCACATCCTTATTCCTGTTTATCCTGTTAAGCTCGTTTGCCACGGCGCCACTCAAGTGGAGGTTTTTTCCTTCCTCATTTTCTTCTTACTTTTCCTATCCTTTTCAGGGGGCGTGGAACAAGGACATCCGTGAATGCGATTCACCAGCCCCTTTAGACTTCTGCTTTGTTGTTGGGTTTAAATATTTTATTGATGTCATTTGGACAATACTCCGCCAGTGCTCACTTGGATGCCTCCGTGCAGATCTCTTATCCGCACTCCACTCCCCGAATGTTTTATTGCTGGCTTGTTGATATTTTTATCATTCCTCCTCCTCCGTCGTAACTGTTCCCTCGTCCTCAGATTACTGCACTTTAAGTGTTGTCCTTCGATTGTTATCCCCGCTCCCATTGTTGTCCTTGTTGTGGCTTAAACGCTCAAATCAAATCAAATTTGATATGCCTCATTTGTGGCAATTACAGAGGTTGAAAAGGGATGAGGGGATGAGGGGGAAATGGAAAATGGGAAAGCAAGTTGCCTTATTTAAATTGAAGTAAACTGTTGACTGGCACAAACTTTGTGGGGTAACTGAGTTGACCAGCATAGAAAATATTTATCTTTTCAATTTCATAAAGTTATCCCTTGGCCACGTTCCTAGTTTCGATTCTTTGTGTTTGTCTCGATAAATTGAACAATTTCCCATTTATGCGAAATGCACTTACAACTTTTAAACCTTTACCATTACTCCCTTGCCTTGCCAGATATCTGGACTTCTTTCGTACTTCCGCCTTAATAAAGGCTTTCTCGCCCCTCCTCCGGAAAGGATAAAAAGTATGGCAAGCATGTTCCGCAGAATAAACTTTTTTTTCGGGCACATGTGTTGGCCTCATCCTCGTCTGGCGGGATCTGAAGGAGGCATAACTCTGTTGTTAGGCTCGCGAGGCATTCGCAAAGAAATTTGCCCCATGCCTCGCCGTATTGTTTTCTTTTTTGAGGCTGCCTAAAAGTATGCAGTCGCAGCTGCATCCATTCTGTACCGGATTCCGGGGGTTTTCCGAAGTTTTCCACAATGGGCGACGAATAAAAAGAGCTCGCGGCGAACACAATGGATAGATAATGGAGTGGGTTTGGACTTGGTTTCTTAAAGAATTTCGTAAATATTTTGAACAGTTTTTGGCCCAATAATGGCATTTTTCCATTTGCTTCGAGGTTAATTTAGTTCATCTTTTACTTTTGCTGGCTAAAGTTTGTTAATTTTACATAAATTTGGCGACATTTCCTCCCGCAGTGCACTGCGGAAATTGTTTTGAATACTTCATTTCTGCATTTTTCCCTGAAATTTATTTATACATCGTTTTTGCCATCATTCTTGGCGAGAACTTGGTCCGAGCAGATTGCACCAAGGAAGGAGGGTAAAAAGAACCGACGAAAAAATAGGAAAAATAATTTCCCTTTTATGCAGATGAGTCCTGCTTGCAGAGTGTCCTTTTCTGTAATGAAATTGACATCTCGTGCCGCGATTCAAGCTGATTCCGTTTTTGTTCCGCTCTGTTATGTTCATTTCGCCTTTCGAATTTCCTCATAAAGTACGTTTTTCTTTTGCAACATCCTCTTGTTACTTCTGGGAGAGATTTCAATTCAATTTCCGCATTTGTTTGGCTTATTCTTTTTCTATTTACTCCCGTCTTAGTTCTTGGTAAAATAAAAATCTTTGGTTACTTAAAAGTTGACAGTTGCATAGTTATTCAAAGCTTGTGCCATCAGAACTATAAAATGACTTTCTCACATTATTTTCATTCACCATATTATCCAACGATATAATCAATATCCGCAGGCGACAATAATTCGCAAACTTCAATAAACCATTATCAGGATCGTCGTCCACATCCGCTGGGATGCCTCATTAACCGTGGCAGCCCTGGTTGCACTTTCAAATGATTAAAAAGCGTAATGAAAAATGCATGCTAAAGTTTGGCCCGTTTGTGTCATTGAAATTCAAGTGACACACCGCCCTGCCCATCCCACGATCCCTGCTATTAAACCCTCAGACATCACACGTCCGCATAATAATTAAATTGAATATGGCAATTATACCCAATTTCACTTGTTTTTATACCCTGACTCGGGGTAAGCAAGGTTTTTTAAATTAATTCATAAAATGATTGAAAATGAAAAACCCAAAAAGAGCTTTAGATAAACTGATATTCTTCCGATTTCTAATAGTTTAATAAAACATTAAAAATATATGCCAGTATTTCTAAGATCTACAAGGGTGTTCTATCTTCGTTAATTTAAAAAATCCCTCTTTCAGCATTTTGTTTTTTAACCGCTGTTGTTATGGCTGCTGTTGTTGTTGGAAAGGGCATAAAAAATGGATACAATAAAATTGCATAACGAATAAAATGCGGTCGGAGTGAATTGGTCTTCCTTACCAGATCCAAACCAATTGCTAGATCCAAGCAAAAAAAAAAACTGCAACCAGGTTAATTGTTTATTAATGTTTTGCATTTTTTTCCCCTTTTTTACGGTTGCAAATGATGTTTGTTTTTGTTAATATTAATGTTTAACGGGCGTTGTTTAATTTGGTTGCTAATTAAGCATTTAACACATCATTTTTGTATCCTACTGATGCATTTAATTTTTATTTCAATTTGCTCACCGAGTGCCTTGGCCGCCCATTCAGTTCCTTTATTTGTCTTTTTCGGATTTTTATTTAATTTAATGCCTCAGTTACAACTCATTTTATATGCTTAAATACATGATACATAGGTGTAGTCCGTGTACGAGTGTGTTTGTTTCTGTATATATATATGTCTATAACTGTATATGATGGTATATATTTATATATATATATATATTTTGTGTCTTCATTTCAATGGTGTCCATAGCTCTGCTTTTAATTCAAATATAGTTCTCACAATTCAACATTTTTCTTTGTGTGTAATTTTTACGCAGTTAAAGCAACACAATTATCGTTTTTATTATTTTAGCTTAATGTTTAACATTCTGTTTTATCTTTACATCAATTGTAAGCCTTTAGTACATGGTAATTAAATTGTTTGTTGAAGATGACCGTATGAAGATTGGATCTCATGAGCTTTGGTAAGAGTATTTGATGAACAAAACTAAATTGAAGTGGAAGTATTGCACTTTTTATTCAGTTTAGAATTTGCAAACTAATCAAAGGCTTTTTAATCATTTGGCATTTGTTGTTTATTATATATAAGTATTTTTAGAATTGTTTAATGCTAAGTAACCCTCCTTTAAATTACCTTCGTCTGACCATTTTGGAATCTCTTCTGCCAAAGCTTTCGTTCACTTGAATTGTAACTTTAAACTGAATCCAAAATTTGCAGCTTTAAGTCAACTGGCCTATATCTACAAAAAATAAAAACGGTAAAGGTAATTTCGTATTCTAAGTACTCGATATGTGTGCGGGCTTAGTTACCTATTTTACTTTGCATTTAACTTGCAATCCTTAAGGCGTCTATCCGAATAAATATTTAATTTGGGTGTTCGCTATCTTATATGCATGAGTGTGGGTGTCAGCAGCGTTTGACGCACGATTATATAGATGTGTATGTATTTATATATACTTAGATCGTGTCGTTTACTATGTGATAACTATGAAACTTTCTCAGTTTTGAAGCACAGCATTGAAAGCAAAACGAAATTGCATTTACCCTTTGGTTGGTTTGTCTTAACTCCTATACATAGCTGTGGTTATGAGTGTATATAGATTCCCGGTAAGGGTCGTGATTGATGGATATACATATGCTGGCCAAGCTCTAGGGGGCCTGGTGTCTCATATATACGTTCGCGTTATATATATGGGGGAAGGGCGGATCGTAATCAGGGTCTGTTTCACTAGGGACTAATCGAGTACTTGTATATATTTCCGTAGAAGCCTTACACATAGTTCCGTACATAGGTAAAGTGTGTAAACTCTAGGCTAGATTCGCTTTAACTAACACAGACTTACTCTAGGGCTAGAACCAACAGCAGTTCGGACTGTTAACAATAGTGACGGGATGATGACGAGGAGCAGCAGCCACGCAATGTCCACGGAGGGATTGTGGCCCCCGCTGGATTCCGCATCCGCCTCGTTGGCATTGCCGGTGGCCAGCAACGGGTTCTGCGTCTTATCTAGGAAGGATTTTTGTTCAGATAAACCGATTTCGTTCAAGTTCGACTGATATCGCGTATCTGAATGAATGGCAGGGATGGTGGACATGAAATGAAATAGAGCACAAAGAAGCCGTAGAAGTCGTTGTGAGTGGGGACATAGTGACATAGCGATTTGAGAAGAGTGCTAGGGAGCAAAGGAAGAGGCTGTCTTCTATCTACTCACTTTTATCCTGTCCATAGATGGACCGCGTGGAGTCGGAGCCGCCGTACGCATAGTTGTTGTTGATCCCATTCTCTCCCCAATGCGAGTCTGTGGAGTAGAGGCCCGATGAGGCAGTGGTTGGCGGATAGGACACTGCAACAAGGATCAAGGTTGCATTTAATTACAAATTTTGTTTTGGTAAGAATTTAAATCTAGGTAAATTTTACATATATTTGTAATTTAAAGCCAGCATAAGGCACCTTTTTGTCTACCTTATTGGCAACAATAAATTTTAAATATTTTATAAAAAATATAAAATTATTAAAATGAAACAATTAACATTAATACAGTATCGATATACTGATATTTCCTATCATATTTCCTGAATTGAATAATACTTTATTTTTATACCCTTGCAGGGTATTATAATTTCAGTCAGAAGTTTGCAACGCAGTGAAGGAGACGTTTCCGACCCTATAAAGTATATATATTCTTGATCAGCATCAACAGCCGAGTCGATCCAGCCATGTCCGTCTGTCCGTCTGTCTGTCTGTCCGTCTGTCTGTCTGTCCGTCTGTCCGTCTGTCTGTTTCTACGCAAACTAGTCCCTCAGTTTTAAAGCTATCTTAATGAAACTTTGCATATAGTCTTCTATATGCTCTCACTGCTATATATGTCGGAACGGGCCGGATCGGACGACTATATCATATAGCTGCCATACAAATGTTCGATAAATTTTTAGAAAAAAATTATAACTTTGCTGTTTTTCAATATTTTTGCATCATTTTTGAGATATAGCCATTTTATATTATTCCAGAATTTTAGTAAAAATTTTATGAAAATCGGACGACTATATGATATAGCTGCCATAGGAAAGATCGGGAAATTAATAGAAATCAAATTATAGCTTCGTTGTTTTTCAACGCATTTTTATTTACTCTGAGATATAAGTTTTTTTTATTATTCTAGAATTTTGGTATAAATTTCATAAAAATCGGACAACTATATCTTATGCCATAGAAGCGATCGGTAAATGTATAAAATATATAAAGCTGGGAATGTAAAACTGTAACTGTCAAACTGTAAACATAATAAGTATAGGTAAAATGTAATGAAACTCTGTTTTGTGAGTGTTTTCAGCATTTAAATCTATAAAATAAACATCAAAACCAATCTGCAAGGGTATACAAACTTCGGCGTGCCGAAGTTAGCTTCCTTTCTTGTTCTTATATATTTATATGTTTAAATTTGATTTTCCTTTGCCTGTTATTGTTGTAAAATTGTCCCCAATTGAGATATTTCAATAGGCAATTTAATTTTATCCGCCCTTCTGCACTGTATTGTGTTTTCATTTACTTTGAATTTATTCAAGTCTCCATAGATATACATCACATTGATGAACAATAACAACAATGAATATTCTATTTACTGGGAGAAGTTCTTGTTTTCATAAAATTTACATTTTTCCAATTGAGAATTTCCAGCACGTTTTATTTCATTTGTTTTGTATGCGTTTACAATCATTTTTTCTTATTTCAATTTTGGTGCAGTCAGTGACAGTCCGGCTTTTTATCAACTCTGCATAATTTTGCATTTGTGTCTCTTCACATTCCATACGCCTCGTGGATTATGCAGAATGCTAATTAATATATATATTCGTAATAATGTGTCAATATGCACATTTTTGCCTCCCAGAGAGTTGTCCATAATTAAAACCCTTCGACTCGCTGTCATTTTGATTTGTTGCAATTGCATTTCCAGCGATGATTTTCATGGAAAATCAAAGCTTCAGCTCTAAACTATTTAAATATGTAAAATCTGTTCGGTATGTCATTTAATGAGGGAATGCATTTTCAAAATTTTAGAGTAATTACTATTCAAATGCCAAATATGTGATACGGGGATTTGCCATGATGGACTTTGAAACCTTAGAAACTATAAAACCCTCTGTATTTTGATGAAGGTAGCTTATACACTTGTCTATATGTTAAAATTAAATAAGAAGACAAAATTTTAAATGCATTATAATATTTAGCTTTTATTTTGCAGAATTAGAGTTTGGTTAGTTAGTATCTTCTATCCCGCCATTACGGTCTCCTCGATAATTTGCTGTAGAATAATCTCCACCTGTCTTCGCTCTTCTAAATGTTCCTCAAAAATATAATCCATACACGAAACAGCAGACATTTGGGCACCCTCAAGATTTCTATATGGTGATTCGAGGTTTTTGAGATTAGATGCTGGTTGCTTGAATTTTTCTAGAGCTTCTTCCACGGCCGACAGACATTCCTGGGGCTCGTAAGATGGACAATTCACGCCAGCATTGATCACATCCAAGTTGATGCTGTCAAGACCATTGAAGGCCCTGTCCAAGTTCCGATTGAACACCGTATTAAGCCAGATAAATTCATTTGCACATTGGCGCATCTTCAGAGAGTAGCGTTGGTTGACCTCTTCTGTGACATTCAGAGCGTTTCGAGTACCTTTACCGTAGGAGGCCTTTGACACTTGTAAGACTTTATCCGCCGCCCAGTACTGCCACTCATCCTGAGTTCTGACTAATAAGCGAACGACTTCTTCCTGTTGTCTGAGGTTATTGTAGTACTCTTCATTCCCTGGCCAGTGAATGTTTAATTCCGTGACAGCTGTCAGTGCTTCCAGTATGCCTTGCCTCGTCTTCTTCTTGATAATATCAGGAAGAATTGAGAGGCCTTTACTCATGAAATCTTCTAGACGGCTCTTGAGTCCAAAACTTTGCATTGAATTCGCCTGCTGACTGGATGTGATTTGTTGGAGAACCAACAGACCAAGTTCTTCACTTTTACTCTCGACATCATAGTAAGCCCAGGATTCGGCAAGGACAAGGAAAAGGATCAGGCACGTTATACGCTGCATTTTTCCGGTTTAAAAAGAGACTTCGTAGCGCTTTGACCGAAGTCCCGGTACTACCTGGTAGGCACCTTGTTTTAAAGTTTAAGTAAGAGGAAGTATCCGATTAATGTTTGCTTAGCTGGCCCTTGTTAGCGCATTGTGTAATCTTGAAGATATATAACAATAGAATGAAATAAATATTGACGGGTGACTCCGATTGTTGCCAATGCATCTGTGTTAGTTAGGTGAAAATTGCATAGTAATATTTTTCAGCCAGTTAAGTGAGCCAAAGAACATTTTTATAATGGAACTTAGTCTTAGAGACAAAGCTTTGGCAATCTAATTTAGGCACCTTAATGCACAAAGCTTTGGGTATCAGATATACCATAGCTGTGAATTTAATCACAAGCGAATAAATATAACTATTATAGGAACAATCAAAAAATGCTCCCCCTTATAATAAATATTTAAGATATATATATTGCTGTTTAATTAATATATATTTTAATTCACTGTTAAACTGCAGGAATATCGCTATCTATCCCGAATTTATGGTCCCGAGATACTCCTGGATAGTGTCCTGCAGCTGTAACTCCACCTGAATTCGCTCCTCCATATATTTCGCCAAAACCAACTCCATGTCCTGAACTTCACCTTCCTGCACCGGATCGATACCAGACGTGAGCTCCTGGAGAGTCTGTGCCGCGGGCTCTAGTCCCTTGAGAGCATCTCTCACGGCCTTCAAGCACTCATTGGGTTCAATGTTAGAACAGTTATCAGTGGCATAGGTCACCTCATTGAAGCGGTCCTGAAGATCGGACAGGGACACTCCCAAGTCAATATTTAACTGGATTAGGGGCCAAGCAAACTGACCGGCACGCCTATTCAACTCGATTGCGTAGCGAACATTAAGCTTCTCGGTAACGTCCAAGGCTTTTTGAGTACGTTGACCAGACGTAGACTCTGATACCTTCGCAACTTGATTCGTCTTCCAGATCTTCCACTCCTCCTGTTGCTCCAATAGCCCAAGAACTTCGGTTTGCAGCGATTGGAGGTCGCTGAGGCCTCCATCCAGTGGCCAAGTAATGAGCAAGCCAGTTAGAGCTGCCAGAGCTTCCTGCAGGGCCTTCTTCCTTTTCTTCTCGGTGGTATTTGGTAGATCGGACAGTAACTTCCTTACCGCATTATTCAGTTCCTCCTTGAATTGGGAAACGGCTTGGACATTATCGTTCTGCAGTTTGGCGAATTGTGGAACGACCAAAAATCTCCTCTCATTTCCTTGCTCATTAATGAAGGCTTTAGTAGATTCTTCAGCCCAGGTAATACCAAGGACCATTAGAAGGACCAGCCACGCGCTTGGCTGCATTTTTCCAACTTCTTCTCAGAGGTTTTGTTGTGTTCTAGTCCAAGTCTAGATAGTATCTGATAAATACTTTGTCGGAAACTTAAATAAGCAACAAGCTTTGGCCAACATTTGCTCAGCCGGTGGCTTTCAACGGTCAGCCAACACGTGTTAAATAAAATTATTTAATCTTCGAGGTATATTACAATTTTCATTTAAAATGAAACATATAAAGCATACGCCGCGTGGTCTTCACTTAATAAATTTAAACAAATTTAGTGGGTGCTTAGTACATCTTTCTTTTATATTATTTTGAATAACTAATAATATTAAAAGTACTATTTTCCATTTAAAAAATTATGAAAAACGGATAACTAAGCTATAGTATTGAATTTTGGGCGAAAATAAAAAGGAAATGTAATAAATATAAACCATTAAATTCAGTTTACTCAAAGGTGACCCGAGGTTGTACATTTTTAGCGTTGCTTTTATTTTATTTTTAGTATGACTTTGAATTCGTTTCCAATCGATAACTAAAAAATCTTCCCTTCAATCAAATCCATCACGTAATTAAACTAAAGACGTGATATTAACTCGCAATCGCACACATGGCCACATGGCCACATAGCAACTTTAAAGCCAAGTTTTCGCCGATGGCCCAGGCTAAGGTTCATGGAGCCGCAGGAAAGGAAACTTCTGCGGCTAAGCCAGACCAGCCAAGACCAGCCTGGCCAAAAATTCCACACCTTGGGCGTAAGACGTGACTTGATTTTTCACTGGCTTGATTATGCCCGCTCAACGAGCTTTTCCTTTCCCATTCTGTGGCGACTATGTAGGTTCACTCGAGGGGCAAGTGCCAGGGCGGGGTGCCAGAGTGAGTCCTGCTTCGAATTTGGGCAATTAAGTCCGGCCACGGATGCGGTCGAGTTTTTTTCAGATTTTTTTTGTTTGGCTCTCGCTTCCTTTTGGCCTTCCAATTGGCTTTGTCCCTGGCACGGACGAGCATCTAAATGGCTTAGATTTGTCAATTCGTGTTAAGGCCAATGCGGTATTTTTTCAATGCCTCGGGCCTTTATTGGACCCACTGGACATGGAGAACTTAATTAGCTGGGACCGAATGGGAGGTTGAAAAACTTTAATGGATAGTTGCACCTTATACTAAGAAACTAGCCTTGTTTTTTGCCTTAACTTTAGAAATCTCTTTGTTTTAATAACAATTGAGAGTTGAAAGTAGGTTTGGAATTGTAAAGATACTAAGTTCATAGACTTACCATATAGCCGAATAATGCCATCCGTCTCGCCTCTGGGATTCTTGGCCACACATTTGTAGATGCCATCATCGCCACTACCCACATTGATGATGGTCAACTTCATATGGGTCTTATATGCCGGAAGACCAATGCTTGCTTCAACTCTGCGAATGAAGAATGAAATGTTTTCCACATTTTGAGAACACATTCTAAAAGAAATACCGTTGTTAATTTATAGTTAGCTAACAACTTACTTGTACTTGTGCGAATCGTGAATAATTGGTCCCTCGCCACGTGTCCAATAGTTGAGGGATGTGGGATGTGCCTCAGTGAAGCATTCGATGGTAACGTTGAAACCTTCTGGAGCGCCAACCAATTGATGGGGTATCAGCAGCATTGGAGGAACTAGAATCACAAATACAAATACAATCAGCATCACAATTACTTTATATGTAATCCAATCACTTTCATTTGGCAATCGTACAACTGTCTTTCACCCACTTTTTGTAATCAAAAAAGTTCAACTCAACGAATTCATAAACTCAGCCTGAAAGTAAACTTGTGGTCAACTTCTCTATAATTCATTTGACGTTGTTAGAACTTATTTTTGCCCACTTTTTGTTATTGGCAAACAACAAAGTTTCAAAACCAAATTATGCATGCATATATTTCATATAGATTTTTGCCTGCTGTTTTTAGGTTTATGCAAATGTCTTGATTTAAGCAGGCAATTTTTTTCTCAGTCTGCCACTGATTTTCATTTAAATTGCAAGTCAAGAGGAGCCACCAGGAGAAAGTTCTTGAGCCTCAAAAAATGGAAACGAAAAAAAACTATTTCTTTTCAACGAAATCTTATGAATAGCATTATTCGAGATTTTTCTTATCTTGGGTCGACTGCCATCTTGCACCTGCCTGCAGCTTTGCAATTATATGCGAGGACATCCATGGAGAAGCAACCTTTGCCACCTCAAGAAGAAGCTAACACAAAAAGTCCCACACTTCAGGCGCATTTGGCGCGCTTTTTTAATTAAGATATTAAATGGGAAATGTCGCAGAGAGCGGGACTAATGAACACTCGGCACTACGTCGCTCCATAGTTATTGTCAGCCGACGAACATCTTCTTCAGCATCTCCATCATCATTAAGGTGCACAATGGATATCCTTCGGCGGGAGTCATGGTGCTTTTGCCTTGTCATTTGCCCGCCTGTTTTACCTTTTGTTGATTTATGTCCACCACGAGTTGGCAATTAAGCTGAAGGGTTGACAAAAAAGAAATGCCACAGGGAGGAGGAGGAGGAGGAGCTCCAATTGAATTTTTAATCAGCTCGGACACAAATTAGCGCCAGGTTTGCCGGCCTTCTTTTGCTCATATTTTTTTGGAGTATCTTGTGGCTCTTTTGTTTTTTTTTTGATGAGGTGTTCAGCGCCATTAGGGTTGGGCATAATCCTCTTAATCAAAGCAAGCTTAAGTGTGATGAAGTGGCCAGCTTAATTAGCCTGTCTGCGAGTAGGGTCAAGTGTGCCACTCGGAGAGTATCTGCCAAAGGAGATCACAAATCCAATTTGCTACCAGATTTTTCAGTATAACGATAATATTTTGATTGGCAGATTCCTCCGCATAAGCAAGGACATTTTCCTTTGATACTTGAAACTTATACACACAGTCCCGAACAATTTGTTAAAACAACTGTGACAGCTTGCATATGTCCTTTAGCCAGGATGCCCACACATATATGTACGTATGTAAGTATATAGTACGTACAGTCGCATACATTTATTTTTGTGGCGTGCGCTGCCTAACAAGCAGGAAGCAACAAATTCAGTTTCTGTTTCCGGCTCCAAGGAGAGCGGTTCTTATGTGTATTTCTGACTGCATACTGATTTGTTGCCTTTGTGCAACCGAAACAGAAACAGAAACAGAAACAGAAACGGAGACGGAACGGAAAAGTTCGCCAGCAAAGGGCAACATATGCTGCAAACGACCCTTAACCTGTGCCACTCCTAGAAAAAACCGAAACCTTACTCATTTCGTATGCAGCACAGATATTCTATATTGATATAATTTCTGTTGATTTTTCCCCAGACAACTTTTGAGCGGAGCTTAAGCGAAAGTCAAGCAGAAATCACCTTGAAGTTGTCGTCTCTACCATTTCCATTCATTTTAATTGCCCGCACAAAAAGCAGTGCCGAGTGAAAGGCGCCAGGACTCGAGTGGCGCGGCCGGCAGGACAAACATTTGCCAGGACTAACAGCTTCCTCCACTCCTTTCGGTCACTGATTTAAATTACAATTGAGTGGCGACAATATTGGCGAAAGCCAAGAATTCAGCAAGGCAGGATCCAAGCAGCTACAACTGTTAAGTGCCACAAGGACTCGCGTTGAATCAACAATAATTTAGCCAGGCGGGGGAGAGAATGCGCCGGACCGTGCCGGACCCGGACATTGAGTGACATTCTTTTCTTCTATAGAAAAGTGCAGAAAAAAAAATGGTAAGGTGGCCCCGACTGCCAGTGTAAACAACTTGAAAATTAGCCGTTAATGAAGCCTCGTTAAGGGGTTGAAGGGAGGGCCAAGCCGAGTGGATTACTGTCCAAGTAGCGCACCATTGATTGCACTGCCGGCGGACAATCCTGGGACAATATTTGTGGAATTAGTGAGTCGCAATGGGATGATGGGATTGACTTGATTGTCGGAACATTACACGGCAGAACGGTGTGCTTTCTCCGACAATCCCGACGACAATCGTCGATTGTTACGGCTATCAGTGGATGTGGATGGCACCTGGTTGGGATCAACGTTTAAAAAATCATTTCTGTCTGGCCAATCAGGAGTAGTAATAGCCATTAGAGAATCGAATATGGCTAGCCATGATAGTCCTTGACTTTGAAGTCGGCTATAATAAGAAATTGCTCTTGATTGGAGCATCTGAGTGTAGGAAAAATATATCGCAAGGCTTTTCAATGAAAAGTGAATACTACAATTTACAACTTTTAGAAATAAATGAAACCGTATTACAAATAATAGCTTACTGAATGTATTTAGTCATTGATAAAGACATAGTTTCTAGTTCTTTTTATTGAAAGCTGATTACACATAGTATTAATATTTACTTGCGATTGCAATTTCCTCTTAACCACAAAAAACTTGGCCTTTCATAGTCGATACTACACCCATTCCATCTACAGGATCCGCACACACATTGAACAATTTCATTTTTTATGAAGGACTTCTGCCGCAATCAAGGTATTTTCGACTGTTCTGTTTGTATTCCCATTTTTTGTAGTTCGTTTTTTGCGAAAAGCCCCCGCACAAGTGTAATTTGTATTGCACTTTTTACAGGATACTGGACAGGGGTTAGCAACTGCCAACAGAGACCGGTGTGCCGTCCAGTTCGGTTTACTGCTGGGAGGAAGGGATTGCAGGATTGCTGGATTGCAGGATTGCAGGATAGTGACCGAGGTTTGTTTGGCGGCAGTGGCGAATGTCGTGTACAAAACAAAAATAGATTTATGCTTGCGGCATTTTTAAGTGACAGCAAACGAGCAAATTTCTGTGACGACCAGCCGCCCCACTGCCCAGCCGCCCATTTCCGCAGGGATGTCAGCACTTGACAGCACATGTGATGTGTCTGTCGCCTGTAATAAATCTTGAAAAAGTGCACAACAGGCAACGCAGTGATTTGATTCCATCCTCCATTTTTTTACCAAGCTGTTTTGGTATAAGCCACAAGCTATAGGAGCTACAAGTGTGCTTCCGATTGCAAAATCTCGCCATAGTGGGTGTCCTTTATGGGACTTTAGCGAGTTTTTTTTTTTTGCACTGCAGGACTCGTAAGAGTTGAAGTTTGAGATGATTTAAAACATGGATTGGTACAAGGATGGATTTAATGTAAAATGCAAAACCCAATAACATGCAATGAAATAGTTTTTAGAATAAGTTAAAATTGTTAATGCCTTTCTAAGAAAAATCTGTGTGTTTAAAACTTTTTTCTACCGTAAACTTAATCCCTTTACACGCAGAAAGAGTGTTAAACTTTAATCCGCGGCTGCCAAATAGAAATATGAGTGGCAGCGAATCACGAAGTGTTCGTAATAAAAACAAACTTTAAGCTAGACAAATACAACGGATAAACAAAATATCCAGTCCACACGTAACAAAAATAAATTGAAACACCGCCGAATGGAAAAATAGGGAATATCAGCGGAAACAACAGGGCTTGTATTTCGATTTTAGTCAAGTTCTGCGAATACGTTATCGAACGGGTAACAAAACCCTTAACGTGGCTGGCAAAAAGTGCTGACTTTGGGGGGTCACTACATCATTTGCAGTCCCTAGTCTGGGGCATCTGGGAGAGGATACTTACAGTCCACGCTGACTTTGATGCGCTTGGAAACCGTGGGGGGCACCCCGTTGGAGGCGATGCAAAGATAGGCGCCCATGTCCAGGCGCGAGATGCGGGTGATCTCCAGCGTATCGCCCTCCCACTCGTTCACTGCAAAGGGATGACACGACGGGGACAGTGTTAAATGATTGATGCACTGCATCCTGCTGACAATCGCACTTACCTATGTGATTCTTATTGATGGCTATGCGGGAGTTGTCGTCCCGCTTCCATTTGATGATGGGGCGGGGACTGCCGCTGGCCCGACACCTCAGCGATATGTTGGCGCCCTCCCGCACAATCACATCGCTGGAGCTCAGCGAGTCGTCGATGTTGGGGGGAACTGTGGAGAATGGGAAAATTCGGAATATTGGAAAATATGAAAATCAGCGAAAAAGTGGCAACACTTAGCCCACAGAATTTAATATTGGGAAACTCAGCAGGTCATTCATAAATGTTAATCGCGAAGGGTATCTTAATCCCAAACGTATTTTTGTAGTTCAATTATGAGTTCTAGATTTTCTAATGTTTATAATTTAGTTATCAAATAATTAAGAATTTAATAATTGTATATAAATAACCAATATTTCTAAAAGAAATGTCTCTGATGTTGACTAGTGTAATCGGCAATATCCGCTAAACTGTTGCACACCGATAATCCTCTTAAATAGATGAAGTCAGCATCCATTTAAAATTGAACTCTGCTCTTGTATTTATGCATGATAAATATTGGCCAACACACTCTAGTTTGGCAACAGGAAATTGCTTTTATATGAGCCCAACAGTTGCAGGGCAATTATTTTTGAATTTCTCATTATTCGATCAAATTGAAGAGCAATTTATGGGATATACGGCATGTGTCTGCACTTTTATTTTCGATTTAATTTGGGAAACCTATTATAACCTTGCTCATTCAATTATAATCGGCAAAAAAAAAGGTGTTTATCTTTATGCTAACCCAATTAGCAGGGTTGTGCTTTCATGCAGCGAGCCTTTTTTGGATAAAATTTATTAGACACATGTATAGTGTTAGCCAATATTATTACATCTATGGTTTTTCGGGCTGGGCCTAAAATACATTTGATAGTCTGTATATAATTTCGTTTCTTTTTCTCACATTTTTTAATTAAAAGCACGCTCACTCGCTCCCTTATCCACAAATATCGCATGCATTTTTAATAATTTGTTTGTTGTTTGTCCAGGCAGGGAAAATAATTTCGCCTGGCCAAAGGATTCACTGAACTGTGCTCCGTTTCGGGCTCCGAACCGGGCACGAGCCCAAGTCCTGGATCTCGTTCTCTGGACTCCACTTTGCTGTTGGCCTTCTCCTGTTTACGCCTCCCCCCTTTCCGTATTGTTTTTCGCCATGTTTGTCCGCCGCTTTAAGGCACATAAATTATTTTTTAATTCACCGCGTATTTGCACAGGATTTCCGTGAGCCCCGCCGAGAATCCCTGGAGTTCACCGCCCTGATTAGGTTCCCCCGAAAAGATGGCCGGGACTTACCCACTACGTTCAGGTAGCCGAACTGCGTTTTGGCCGTCACCGTGTTGATCTGGCACATGTACCGACCCCTGTCCTCCTCGTGCACGTTGTTTATGTGCAGATACCAGGTGCGGTGGCGGTCGTGCTTGTCGTGCGTGACACTAATGCGTGGATTGCGCGTGATCACGTGATTGTGAACGGTCAGAATGGCGGATTGCTCGAAGTGCATCCAGGCGACCTGAAAGGAAAATATAACTTTAATGTTTTACTTAAAAAATAATAAAAGAAATTGAAAATATAAATAATAAAGATATAACTTAAGCAAGCGGCAGGAAAATTATGTAAGGATAACTCTCCAGAAACAGCAACCGAGATTTTCCTTTATTTTGCTGAAAAATATCATTAAAAAAAGGTCATGTTTTGTTTTAAAATCAACCTATGTATATAATTATATATTTAAATTACCAAAACATCCTCTAAAGTATTGGTTATGCTTGTAAAAACACTCTAATTGCTTTTACTTCATGTGCATTTGGTTCCTCCTCTTGTGACTATTTAGTAACCTTTCAGACATGGCTGGTACTTAAAAGACCCGGAACTTTTTAATAACATCCTAACGTAGCCGTTCTTCTTTTTTATATTGTGTCACTAGCACACACGTAGTATATGGAACACCCAGCAATTTCACAGCTCAGCATCAGCAGTCAAAATGGAGGAGAAGAAAAAAAAAAATGTTTGGAAAATGGCAGAGAGCGGAAGCGAGAAAATTGCATCATAGTGTCGCATATAAAAATAAACGCAACCGGTTACAAGTTCCTGTGATGTTCAAAAACGGAGAAGGACCTGCAGTCCTGTGTGTGTGTGAGTGTGTGTGTGCGGTGATAGCTATGAATTACATGAGGCCAATCTAGGGAGAGGCGAAGCCTTACTTACAGACGCCCAGCTACTTAAACATGCCATCCGAGACTAGAGCTAAACCAGGTCTCTCGTTTCTATACCTTTGGCCCAGAGATTCCCAGGACGCACTTGCATGCGCCGCACGTCCACGGAGTACGGGGGAGAGAGAAGCCTTCCCCAGCTGCACATCCTCTTGTTGCTCTCATTTACACCTCAATTTGATTCTATTTCCTGCATTCCGGCACTCTATTGGATGGTTTTTCGGAGCCAGAGTCAGATCCAGGAGCCAGGCCGCTAACAAGGCCAGCGATGATGGCCACTTGAGCTCGGAATCCAGCACTTTGAGTGCTGCCTAATGATGCCCCCCCAGTCGGTGGCAGTGTAATCCGCCTTTGGATTTGTTAATGATCTGCTTAAAGCCCGGCTTTTGATGGCTCTCTATTGTCAAAGGTCTCAATAGAATAAACTGAATGCCTGATTTTGGGGTTGCAGTTTAATAATTAATTAGTTGACTTATCCTTCGCCGCGGTGCCAGCTCATTTAGCATGCATACCCAGTCTAGTCTTTTTTGAACACGGATTTTATGCCAAGTAATCAAATCATTAGCACTCATTACAAGCAGCTTAATTAATTAATCATTTCACGTTCCCTTTGCTTCCGCATTTCTTTTTCTGCTTTTTGGTCTTCCTTTCTCTATTTTAATTTCCTTTCACCGCCAAAGGGGAGCAGCTAATGATGCATAAAAACTAAACGGTGTAAGCACTTTTCAGGGCAGTCTCCCCTTTGCGTTAAATGGGGGAAAAATATAGGGTATTTTCTGTGGTGATTTAAAGATCTTGTGCAAAAATATTGTACAGCGTTACTCATCTTGTTTTTAATTTAAGATCTTTATAGGGACATGTGGAAATAATTTATAATTCTAAATCATATGCTCACCTTATAAGACCCCAGATTTTTAACGGAACATCCCAGTTTAACGTTACGTCCAGCAGGTACAGTTACATTTTCGATGTATTCGGTAAATTCGGGTTCTTCGACAACAGCTAAAAATGTGAAAAAACAAAATAATACAAATAGTGAGATGAAGTGGAATTTATTTTAATTTAGTGCATAAAATATTTATAAAGTTTTATTCATATTTGACTTAGTTCTATGTCAATATGCCAGCCATGAATTTGCATAATCAAATAAAGCGTAAAAATCAATTATGCGCACAAAATTAATTGTAAAAATGTTCCTATATCCGCGCACACGCCACAAAAAAATTGCTTTTGGGGGTGCAAAATAATTATTCCATTGATTTCTGCGTTGACTCATTATTGCTGATGCTTTCCCGGGGCTTTGCCGGAGGGGAAAATCGGAAAACAACAAATGTGTACAAATATAATTTAACTTATGTTGGCACACACAGACGCATACCGAATTTCCACGTTTCAATATATGCCTGCAACATCAACAAGTTAAATTCTCTTTTTTTCCCCAGCTCTCAATGTGGAAATGCAAATGCTTTCATTAAACTTTTAATGACCGAACCGTACTGTGAAAATGCATTTAAATTGTGGCACGAAGGCAACTGGGGAAAACTCCTAACAGCATTTTCTTTATTGTTCAGACAAATATTGATACTCCGTCGGGGACAAAGGGGGCGACTTAGCTTTATTCATTTAGCTGCTAATTTAGTTGAGCCAAGCAAATATTTAATATAGATTTTCAATTCATGTTTGCTTTGAGCCTGATAGCCTCACGGAAATGCTTTGGCAATTCAATTAAACTGTTTGAGTTGCAATTATTTAATCGCATTCCTGAAAAGGCAACAATTATGCATAACAAATCGCACAATTTCAATAAAGTCAACATGCGCCCGAGCAGTCAAAGAATTTTGAATAAGCATCGCAACTATGTATGCAATTCGACTCGTAGCTTACATTATGTATATAAAAGTTATTATAAATTCAGGAAAGTCGAGATTAAATTGATTTTTGAAGTCAAATAAAACCTTTTCCCTATAACTATGATAGTTACAATCCAAGCTTGTTGAATTATGAAGAAAATATATATATCTTGGGTAAAGTCAAGCTACAACTAAATCAAAAACTGTTCTCTGGAAAATTATATTTAAAGTAAACTGTTCAGTTGATCTCTCTGGTCAGATATATTGATTCATTTCAATGTATTTGCTCTATGAAAGTGCAAATTTTAATTACAATTTATGATTAGCTCGTTTCTATTTGGGCAACAAAATTGCACGTCTCTTGAAATAGTTTCAAACTGGCATCGTATCGCGTTTGGCTCTAGCTTAATTAGCTATTTATAATGTCCGTGTGCCTGCCAGACATCTGTGTATATGCACCACAAACATATAGAGTTACATATTGGCCGAATTGAAATGTGCACAAGTCAATACGATTCGGTTGATTCGACGTAACCACGGGGCATGCAAACAATGTGTTTCAGCTCGCCCTCTTGGGCCGTTTTTCAGAACAGCAGGCAGCTGGCCTAACTAATTATGAAACAATAACACAAGAGTTGCATAAATTGACGAAAGTCACCATCCTTTTGTTCTTCCCATTGCAAAGTGCAGAGAGAGAAATTTAAATGAAATCAGATATTATAAAGATGTCATTCGAAAGCTTACTGAAGAGCTCTCTAATTTTTAGGAAAATATATGAATTAGATAACTATATTACCATAGTTTCTGGTGGCTTCGGAGGCAACTCTTTTGGCTCTGTACTTGGGAATCCTAGGTGCATCATTTGCACACATTTTCATTACGCTTAATGTACTTTAAATACTTGTAACTTTCTGTTTTTGTTTCTTTCTGTGTGATCATTGCATGGAATAGTGACAAAAAATAGATGCAAAGCACAAACACTGTTGCCCCTTGCTGCAAGTCAAGCGTTCAACGTTTACGCAATGGCACCAGGAGCGGGGAAATGCTCTGCATAATCATGGGATTTCATCCAGCTGCAATTTTCGCGCCAGAGCGCGTGTCTGCATATAAATTTTGTTGAGGTCTCAGCCAGCCATTCGCTGCCACGCCCCTACGCCCCCACGGGGGCAGAAAAACAACAGAATGAATGAGAAGCCTGATAGAGATGACAGTTTTGCGAGAAAGTGAATTAGGGATGATTAAAATGCATCTAATCTAAAATCTCATTTTCTATTTTTCCTATTTCTAAGAGGCACAAAATTATGAAACATTTGTTATTATTTGAATTATTCTAATGATGATCACACCGTTTTTTTTTAAATAAAATATTCCTATATTTGTAATAATAAAAATTACTTTCATTGCAGCGAAAAACATAGACTAAAAATATATATAAAAGCAACCCCAACAATGAGACCATGCATGAAAATATTACTGCTGTCTTCAAGTAAATATTCAACACTTAATTGAAGTTGATATTGCAATTTTGCTGGCACTGTCAAGGTGCTCGACTCATGAATAAATTGACAGCTCACAATGCATAAAACACGCTGGCTATGATGCTCGTATTGGCCATCGGCAGTTGGGGGATCGCAGCAGGAACCCGGGGGAGGGCAGGATGCAGATGGAGCTGAGTTTGAGTTGAGGATGCGGATGATGCGGTGGATGTCGCCTGTTGCGACATAAATCTCGCTGCCTGAATGAATTTTGCGCACAGTTGAGCGGCTATGTTGCTGTTGTTTTTGCCACTGCACCTGAGAACAATGACAGCCGGCATTTTCATGGGTTGCCACGAGTTGAGTGGCGGATCGGAGGTGGGTGCGTGTTAACCCCGAGGCACTGTCACCGTACTGGATTTCTTTTCACCGCCACACAAATGTGTGTGTACTTGGAAAAATTGAAAGGTAATTTAACTAAATTTTTGAATAACTGAAAATCAACCAGAATCTCATGTCCGAAGCTTATCAAAGGACTTGAATTATTTTTGTTTTTTTTTTTATTGAATTTTTAAATTTATTTCTTTTAAGGATTTAAATTTCGCCTAGTGTACTACCGTATCTATCAGCATGGCTCTTGTTCTGAATCCTGCGGCCTCTCAGTTTTTGGCATAAAGCCGTGTATCACTAATGCCCCGCGGAGTCCGTTTATCATCCGTCTTTTCCCTTCAAACTGCATGTATTTGCCTTCCCTTCTGATATTTGCCAATGCAAATATGATTGGCTTTGGGGGTGGCCATGGCAGGACGCCTACGAGACCAAAGTACTATCTGGGTGTTATTGACGGCATCATGTCATATTGAGAGGCCACACTGAGAGGCCAAACAAGAGGCAAACGGATTGTAGTATTTATAAAGCCCTACACAATAGAGTTCATTGATGATGGTAAAGGTTATTGGTAAACTAAAGGCACATTTTCTTTATACTTTTCATTTTCATAAAAGTGTATTCTCTATTACTTTAGCTTAATTTTCATTTAGATGAGATGTACGAGATACTCACTGTTTAAATTCGAGGTCGGCACATTGGCCACGCCGCCGGCAACAATCAGGCCATTGCTCCCGACCACCGTGTTAGCGGTGCCGCTGCCAACCACAGCTCCTCCGCCTGCTCCTGCTCCCGTTCCCACTCCTGGTCCACCAAAGCCCACCGCCACTGTCTTGGAGCCGGACGGATGCTTGCCCCCGGCAATGCCGACGCCTCCGCCTCCGCTACCGCCGTTGAGTATCTGCGGCAGGATGATCTTGTTGGTGGAGTCCCCCGCTGTTGCCGCGAGCACGAGGAGGGCCCCAATTAGACGCCAGGACGGGGGCAACATCAACTTGCCGTTGCGGTCGACTCAGCCACAGCCAGGAGCCCCAAGGATGGCCTCGTCTCCTGGCCAAAGTGCATCCTCCCGGATCTGGCGCCTCGCTTTTAGCTGCCCCGCTGTCGCTCTAGTTTTTTTAGACCGCCGCGGGGATTGTTTGCTTTACAGCTTTCACTCGACGCTTTTCACGCGGCTTTGTTATCGGAGTTTTTCGCCAGTGGCATTTACCAAAATTTTCATATTTGTTTTTAGCGTTTTTCGGGGATTATTTTCGTGGGCCAATCATTTGAGATATTCTGTGTCAATGTTGTAAATGCATTTTATGAAAGGCTGGTATATATTGAAATGGTGGAATTTTATTTTATTTAAGTGACTTTGCTGGTGAATTTTTGGAAATGGTTGCTAATATTTTTTAAAATCATTCACTCTTGTTTACCATAGTTGGAAAAAGTAAACTTAACTATTTGGAAACAAAGTTTTCTATTTGGAAACATTTTTAAAAATATAAAATCTAATACGACAGTATATATAAACTGTTTAACGCTTAAAAACAAATAAAATATTAAAAGTCACCCTATAAATAATAATAATTAATTTTAAATCTCTGCGTATCCTATTTTAAATGAAAAATACAAGGATATGGTCTCTAACCAAAATGTAAGGTTACCTTTAAGCCCCAGACTAGTTTTTCCATTTGCACCCTTTTATAGTGATACATTTTCCATCTGCCAGCGAGAAAAAGGATAGGAAAAACTGCCTTAATTCTCGAGTTTTCCATTTGACTTTGGTGCCATAAATTTGCTTTCAATGCACTGGATTTCCCCCGTTTCCCGTCCCCCCCCAGCAATTGTTTGCCGTCTAGTAACTTTCAACGCGTGCACACAGATGCCATGCAGATTTGCTGGGGAATTCAATAAAGTTTGGCAAAATATTATGCCACAGAGCCGCATGCCCGGCGCCTGCCACGCCCCCTTGCGTAGGCAGTCGCACGTGTTGCAGCAAAGTTTAAGCCACCAAAAAGGAAAGGGGCCAACGAAATACCCGAAAAGCCATAAAGATTTGCCTCGGAAGCAGGAACTCGAGCGCCCTTTGGCGACCAGTTGATAAATGTTTCTGCTTTATATAGTTTATCTTTAGGCAGAATTAAAAGTCGGGAAAGGCCCAACCGGATTCCATAAAAATAAAAATTCCTTATCTAAAATGCTCTCAAAAATAAATGGCACTACAGTCGGCAAACGCTGAGAAATAGGAGTATGTACCACACATGTGCAGACAGCGAAGTTTATGCCAATTAATTTAAATGCTCTTTCCATTTGTTGTTTATCTTAAGTTTTTGGTCCCCCAGCCTCCTCCTTTCCTCGTTTCTGACTTTATTTCTTACTTTTTCAACTTTATTTTTTGACAACGTTGTAGTAATATCTTAAGTTTCTCTAGGAGAAATGAGTGTGTAGCATTTTATGATTGGCATACAGTGCCCCAAAAGTTTGAAACTCTTTTTTTATTATTATTACTTATAAAATATTAAGATATATATCATTTCTGCATACTGTAGGAATATTAGGATAGAATATGATATGAAATTTAATGCTGATCGTAACAGAATTTCAAAAACAAACAAAAACATTAACAAAATAATATGCAATAACAATATTTTTAAATTCAATTTAAAAATATATTTAGTATAGGCAAAATAGTTTAAATTCTAGTTCATATTTGTAAAACATACTGTTCCTGGCTCTGTTTCGTTTCTGTTTCTTGGCCAGGCCATCGGAAGCGAAACTTTCCCTTGAACAATTTTTATTTTTTATGGCTTTTAAGCGTGTCGCCTTCAGCTTCTGCTTTTTGTGGGGTCCGCACGCAGCTTGGCCAACACACTCGCAAACGGAGAGACAAAACTTTTTCCCTTATGGCTCGCTTATGAAATTAAGCAATTTCTGGCAGCACACCCCGGCCCCTTGGCCATCAGCTCACACATGATGAAGCTTTTTCGGCATAGACCAAAACAGATTTACCATCAAAAACGAGAACAAGAACAAGAAGTCCAACAAATTTTATGCACTTTTTTATGAGTTTGGCAAAGTGTTTGTAATTAAATTAATAAATTGTTCGGAGGAGCAACTTGTTCTGGATGTGTTTTTGTATTTTTTTCTTTGTTTTTATGCTAGGAAATTAAATTTTAATGAGGCTATTTAGATTGTGTGTGTCCTGTTTTGTGAATGATAACTTTTGGCAAAACAAATTGGCTTATAACTGGAGCAACTTTAGAAATAATAAACAAGGTAGAAAAAGTGTACTCTGTGGAAGCAAAAAAAAAAGGAAATTATAAAAATTCTAGTCATGCTAATTAGGGGGATTTCAGTGGATGACAAGCAATAACAATTTTGTGTTTAGCTGAGCTTAAAATTATTTAAAAGGTATTGCGAAAAGCAAACAGTAATAAGCCTTGACAGGCATCCCCAGCTTAAGTGGAGTGCTCCTGTGGCCACAGGACACTGTCAGCTTTCAGCTTTTCCGTGAAACTCCGAAAATGGAATAGAAAGTGTGGAAAATGGAAGCCAAGAAGATTTCCAAGTCATTTTGCTGTACTTTTTGTATTAAAGGTTTAATATAATTAATAAACGGATATTTTTTATAGAATTTATATTGATTTTAATACCGATAACTTAAATTTTTGTCATGCCCAATTGAAAAAAGAACAAAGAAAGAAAAGATTATCATGGTACGACTAGATTTTATCAAGAATTTACTTTAAAAATTTAAATAATATATCTTTAAATTACATTTTTGAGCACAAAAACGAATCATTTCTGTTACTTTTCAATTAAAATTAATACAATTTCATATTTAAATGACATTAAATTCAACCAAAACTAAACTATCCACTATAGATACAAATATTTATTCAATTGATGCATCAGTAGTTTTTCACTTTTGATCACAAGTTCTGAAACACAGCAATAATATCCATATTTTTACCATCATCATCATCATCAACAATGGCTTCATATTTTCGCAATTTTGTTTGCATTTCTCTCCACAATTTGTAAAGTTGCTGCAAACCAAATCCAAACACACAAAAACAGAATAGAAAAAAAGGTTACAAAAGAGGATGGAAATAAATAGAGAGCCAATAAGCCCTGAACTGGCGGAGGACAAAAAGTTCGGGAACAGCTGACAGCATGGAGTTTCCAACGTCCTCCCATTCTGTTTGCTGAGTCCTGCCATTGATCTGCATCGATGCCTGAATGCAAAACAACCGAACGAGAGCAGTAAAGACTCTCAGAGATGGACTCTGCAGAGTTTTATCAGATTTAAAAATATTTTTTTAAATGATAATTTCTAAACAGTATAGAGATTTATCTACATGTTCTACAATATGAGAAAGTGCTTCCAAAATATCTAACTTTTTCATTTCTAATTCAATCAAGAGTTACTGTCATAGCTCGCTCATCCTTCAAGCACAATGTATTTTGAAATTTCCCTATTTATTCTACACTTATTTACAGAACATACCGGAATATCTACCCTAACCAAGCTCCACTGTACTCACACGCTCTCAGAGCTTCCCACACTCCATTACGTATGCAAGTTTCAAGCAGTTGGCCGCCCTTTTCCCCTCCACTGCCCCACTTTCCATGGATGCAGTGGGTTAATGTATTTTTAAGCTAAATTCTTTGTTTATATTTGCGTTGCTGTTTCGGTTGTGTTTGCCTGTGTTGTGCGTTGCAGCAGTCCTTTATCAATCGCCACCGAGAACCCCCTTGCTGAACTATCCTTTTTCCTTAACTTCTTTTTTTGCCAGTTGTCCCAAAGTGAACTCTGGTGGATTCATTTATTCGCTTATAAGTTTGTTTGCGATTTTTCCGAGATTGAAAAGTGCCTCTGTGTGCGTGTTAGCACTGTTTGTTTGCTTTTTGTTGGCATGAAATGTGCATTAGCAGAGTTAACTGTTAATTGTTTACCCATTTCGAGTGCCTGACAAGTGACGTTCGAACTTGCACGAGTGAGTGTGTGAGCATGTCTTCATTGTCCTTGTGGTTTAGCTTAAAATGGCTTTCAGTCATTTGAGAGTTAGCTGGAAAGGCTGACACTAAGGTGCATTATAGAAATTAAACTGTTTTAAAATTCTCTTTCGAAATAGTAGCAAATATACCTATTTATTTGCAATTAATGGCTTACTAAATAAGTATTTTAAATATTGCTTTTGCTAATTAAGAAAGTCGTAGCTAAATAATTTAAGTACTTCAATTTACAAACTAACTTTTATAAAATAAAATTCGAGGATAGATTAGATCACAGCCAGCCTTTTTAAGTTGATCTTCTGATTAGATCGGTACCCTTTTCTTTTGGTTTAAGACATTATTTTAAGTAGCTCATAAATGACACTATAACAAAAAAGTAGACAAAGATAAAAAACGTGGAAAAATGTATACCTTTCATTTGTATTTAACTTTTTATCCTATTTTCACAACACATTGGAAAATCTTTTATGATCACGATCAAGTCTCACTTTCAGCAAAGCTCAATTAACTAGTTTTAAATTAATATAAAAATGTAGTTTTCGGTATTGAGTCTAAAAGAATAAATATAAACCTATGCTAAGAGCATAAGATTATAAATAAAATTAAGTTAAATGAAAAAACAAAGTATAAATGTAATTAACCTAAACATTGTTGATATAATTAAAATATTTTACTCTTAAAAAAACCTAAAAACAAAACGATTTTAAGATAATTTCTTAAACTTCAGAACTATTGTTGATTTTATAACTTATTCCAAATTACTAATATTTATCTTTCTTAAAAAATAAAAGAAGACACGTTTTAAATTGAAATTAATGGTTTGGTTTTACATGATTTTAAAATCTAATTCCTTTTCCAATATTTTCTTTCATGAAATGGTCATAATCAATTGCATGCCTTTAGATCAAACTTCATATTTAATTTTAGAAAAAACCCAATATTTTATACCATTTCCTTAAAGTTTAAGATAGACAACCATTTCGCACTTTTCCCTCTACAGTTTCATCAACATTTAACACAGCACTCTTAAAATAACACTTTTTTTAAGTCAGAAGATCCTTTTTATTCACCGATCACTTGACGAAGAACGCGTTTTGTGTCACTAGAAGACGACTTTTTGCCGGTCGAGATCCTTTACACACATTTGCCAGGACGAATTCCCGTAAAACGCGTCCGCTTCGTGCAGAATCCGTAGCAAAACTGATTTGCCGATGCCACTTGGCGCTCGCCCAGAGCCCGGCTCTGGCTCTTCTGCCAGCAGCAACAACAACGCCGAGGAAAAGAAAATCCAACGAATGAAAAATGCTGTTACGTATACGCCGTGGTGGCCGAGTGATAACAGGCCGAAGCCAGCCGAAGCAGCACTTCGTTGTGAGCCAACCAAAGGACGGGGATGCTGGCCCATTGGTTGTTGTTGTTGTTGCTGGCTGGTTGCTGGTAGTCCTGTCGGTCGTCCTGTCGGTCGTCGGCTGCCGGTGTTTCAGGCTGTGTTCCGGGGCTTGTAGTTTGCGTGCAACCGCAACCACAACAACAGACCGCAAAACACGCGACAAAAATGTTAACAGACTCCACCGAAAACTCATGCCCCAAAATGCCTGCGCCCCCCCTTTTCCGGGTTCGAGTTGCAAGTGCGATTCGGTGTCGAACCTATGGCCCGGTTCGAGGTTGGGCTTCATTTTGGGCTGGTTTAAAAAAATAATTGAATTACGCCAAATTAAGAGGCAAAATCAAAACACATTTCTGTCCCTTGTGCAGCTGGTGAAATTCTGCTTTTGCAGCATATATTGCATTTTGTACGCAAGCTTTTAATTAGACAAGTTAATTTAATTTATTTGCATTTTATTCAAAGTCTCCTTTAGTTGGTTGCCAGAGTGCTAAAGTGTGTTTGGTTCGCAGAAAAATGCAATTAATTTGAGATATTCAATTTGCACGCTTTGCTTATGTGATTTTCGCTGATAAAGAGCCAACTAATTGCTGATAATAATTGCATTTCTTAGTTGAATGAATTGACCAACCGGTGGAAAGTTTATTAATTGCTGTGACTACTTTGTTTTTTATTAGAGAAATTAAAGGGCCAATTTGTATTGCAGTCATATAAGCAAATAAGATAAATAAATAAATATATTTCTAGAATCCAAGCTTTTTTATATAAGAAAAAAATCTACTCTCAGCTATTAGGTCTTTACAAATTTTACTTAAATCCTTTTATTAATCCTATTGAACATTTTCTTACTGGCTGCAAAAGGAACAAAATCATGCTTGACGTCTTCATTTATTACCTGCAAATACCTTAAGACTATAAAACATTTTCGATGCCAACAATGTAGGCCTGAATGCCATTTACTTGTTTTCATTAAGTTTTAGGCCTACAGACTAATTAGCAAAACAAAAGCCAAATAACAGTGGACAGCAACAAGCTGCTTTCGAACTTTCCGCCAACAGAACTAACAAGGCACTATACTATATTGTCTGAAAGGAAGGAAATCCTTTCAAGGACTAAGGGACGGGGGGAGTAACTCCCTGTTGGCCATGCCAAACAAGCTTAATGAACTCCTTCAAATCAGAGGCATCGCTCAATGCCAAAAACATTAAAACTGACAAGGCTAGACGGCAGACAAGATGACTGCTGGCTCCTCATCGGGAGTCCTGGTGCCCACACGCCCACAGGAAATACGTGCAGCGTCGCCAGCAGGTTCATTGTGAGGGCATTCCCTGGAGGACCTTGGAGGGGGCGTGGCCGACTGTTGCGCCAGCATGTGACCAAATCGGTAGGCGGGAGGAGAAAGTGGAAGGAGGGAGGCGGAAGGCCACAAAGGTCGTTGCAACACATTCGCTTCGTTGGGTCAAAAGTCAAGCGGTGGACGGGGGATCCCCTGGCCAGCCATTACAACACTTTGTTGGCTGCTTTGTGAAGTTTCCTCGCCATGGCAAAAGTTTTCTTTTTTTTTTCCTCCTGTGCAGTCTTTTTGTATTTTTCACGCCTTGTCCAAAAGTTTTCCGGTTTATTTTTTTCCCGCACTTGTTTTGCTATTTTTTTTTTTCCCGCTGCTGCCCCTAACAATGAAATTTTTGACTGCTGATTGTTTGCTGTTCAATGTTATTCTTCCGGTTCAATGCGACTTTAAGTAGACATGGCTCCTGCTGAAAAATAAAAATAAAAAACAAGAAAAGAAAAGAAAAAAGGAAGTGACCGACCGATGGGACGGAAATGTTTTCCCCCCTGTTCTGGTACTTAGCTAAAGTCTGCAGCAAATTGAAAATGGAAAGTTTCATTCCTGTTTTCCTGTACATTCGTAGATATACTCACATTTCCCCTGGCAGTTTTCCCTTTGCAGACTACTCTTTGGGCTAAGGACTGTCCAAATGAGGTAAACTAGTTCGGGGAATACTATTGAGAAAGTTTTTTCGTTGGCCTGTCTGTGGAGATTTATACTTGGGATTCTCAAGTTTACGCTGGATAGCAACGCATGTTGAAAATCTACCTAAAGTAATAAATAAAGATTTGAGTATGGAATAGAGGGAAAGATTTAGGAATCGAAAGTTGTTTGGGTGTACATTCGCAGACCCTTTTAAGAGTAATAACATCACGTTTTGCGAGGGTTCAACTAAAAACCGCAGGCAGTCATCACATTTCCATTTCACAAGTCAAGCAATGGAAAATCAAAACTGATTCCCCGGAAGCATGCATTCGTTTTTCCAGCAATTTTCACACTCAAGCTGGCATGCACTTTGCTGCCACCCACCACCACCCACCACCACCCCCAAAGCAGCCTTGTTATCTGACAGCTGCACTTACGCAATGTTACGCATAAGTGCCCCTTGGCACCTAGCGAGTATTACACTTTTTATTTCACTCTTTTGCCCACTCAATGCTAGTTATTCTGGCAAATATTTGAAAAAATTCTCCTTGTACTATTTATTTTAGCTGTGATTTATTTGGATATGTTAGTAACATTTTATTGGTTACTTTACAAGGAAAAATATTTTCATTAATAGGAAATACCATAACTTATTCAGAAGTTTCGTAGTACCAAAAAGGGAAAGCCATTTCTCTAATTAAAGAGTAGCTTTTCCTTTTTGAAATACTTTTTTTTTTAGGTAAAAATTCATTGAAAGCGCCTCGCGTAAAGGTTTCCGAATGAAGCGCATACTAACAAAAGAATCGAATGCCGTTAGAAAAGGGAAAATGTGTGGAAAATTGGGGGCGGGAACCCAACCAACCAACCAACCATTGCAAAAAATGTAAAACCTGTTCTGTCATCGGAACCAAATAAAAATTTGCATTCCATCGGTTGTCAATGGGCTGACTTCCCAGCCCCGTAAAAGGTGTCTACTCTTTATTAGCCATCGTGACTAAGCGCGGCTGATGAAACTTTTTCCCGCTGACAAATTGACTTGCCACATGGCCCAAAAGCGTCGAGCTCGGCTAATAACTCAATAAAGGAAGTCATGCCCTAAACCGTCTGCCACTTTCAGCGGATTTCCTTTTGTGGGGCGGCAGATTTAAGCCGATTTCCGCTTGTTTGTCACACAATTACAATTTGTCAGTTGGGCTGAGGCTCAGGCTCAGGCTCAGGTTTGTGGCTTGCGTCTTCCTTCGCCCGTCTTGATAGCCTGCAAAAGGTATGTATCACGGCCTAATTAGGGATAATCGCTGGCCAAACAACGGCTAAGGAAAGGCGTTGAAAGAGATTTAATAAGAAGAAGCTCGTTTGTGACACCAGACATTATTATGAGTTACATTTTGCTTTCATTTTTAAAGGGTTTTACTATTTAAGTTTTACACTTACGTATTTTTGTTAAAAATGTTTGAAAATCTTTAAGCAAGAGTCTTTATGCAGCAGGCATAACTAAGTAACCATCTTTGGGACCATAAGATCTTCAAGTCTTTGTAAATGATCAAGATTATCTACCATAAAGGAAATTCTTTAAGCTTGTGTTGAGTCGCAATAAATTATAATTTCCATTTATAAACTTAAATATTTTGTAAATTCATGACGAACTACTTTACCCAGAAATCCAAAGTCGATTGTAGAACATCGATAACCTGCACAAATTGCCAGTGCACGGCGGAGCCGCAACGCCTACAGGCCTAATGACCGCACGTTGAACATCTTGTCCTGCGGTCACCATAAATAACAGGAAAGCGCATTTGTCATACGACCTCGCCCCACCTCGTCACCCACTCCGCAGCCATTCACCTTTCGGCAAACTGCAGTCCTTGGCCTTTGTCCTGGACGTGTTGGGCTGTAAATCAGCTCATTAGTTAAGTTGGCAGCACCTCGAGCTCGCCTAAGACTGGCTTGGGTAACACGTAGCTGCTTTTGCAGTGAGAAAAACGATTAATATATAAGAAAATAATAAGCTCAGTTTAAAATAGAATTTATAATCGGATTTTTATTACTGTTTTACTGTTTCTTTTTTAGGTAATTTTATGGGCATTGATTATTACCTTAAATTTCTCTCAATAAATATTTTTAGCTTGGAAAGCTATTTTCTCGCTGTGCAATTGTTTGAGGCTTGTGCGTCCACTCGTTAAGCTTCATTTAATCAAAACAAAAGTTGGTCTGGTGAAAAATTACCCCATACACTGGAGGTAAGCGGCGGACTAAAATGCCTCTTTGAATGCTAATAAATCTCGTTCGGTGCGTGGCCGGGATGCCTATCAACGCTGGATCCTGGATCCTGCTAACCTTTGGCAGCGGCAAGTATAATTTAAGCGGCCGAATATCTGCGAAAGTTGTGTTGGACCCGGCCAAAAACTTTGGCAAGCGGTCCGAATCAGAGTCGAGGGGATTTAGACGTAGTTGATGATAGCCAGGAGTTAAGCCAATGAAGGATGGGATTGATACGGCAGGACGAGTGTGCGGGAGTTAATGAAGCACGCCTTCCGAGGATGAGAGGATGCGAGGATGCGAGGATTCGTGGGAGAAATATGGCCAGTCAGCTGTCGATTGAGTTTAGTGCCTGATGATGATTGTTCCTCGGGGGTCGTGACCCCTTGCTGATTGCCCAGTCCCGGTCCGGTTTCAAGTGAGCGCTCTGTTATGGTTTGAAACTAATCTTTAAAGATCATTAGCTCCGCTCACCGAAACTTTTCACAACAATAATAATTTGCCAAATGGCCCTGGGGAGGGAAAGAGAGGTCAGCCCTTACATTAAGATGTATATATATATATATATATATTTAAGGACACCGTGAGCGATGCCGGCCATAATGACGTCAAAGTTGTCGGGAAGCTTTTCATATTGTTGCCTTTAACATTAGCCTTACCTTTTCGCGCTATGATAATGATAATGAGCGTAATGGCGGCGGGTTGAGGTGAGAGCTCCGCCGATGACTCGGAGCTACTCCAGGTCCGCTAATCTTAATTACTTTTGTTTAATTACTTTGACGTTCTGCCCGCGACCATGACAAGCCAACTTCCACGTCCTCATCCTTTCCGGCATTGTTTCCACTTTGAAACGCCCGAGGTCATGCAGCTACTCGGCAGCTTCCTTTAAAATAAATAATGTTTACTTATTATTTTTGGCGGTAAAAAAAAAACAAGAAGGTAAAAGCGAAAAGAATGCAGTGGAGGGAACTTTCCGCAGTTAACAAAGGAGCTCGCGACTTACCTTTTTGCCTTCGTGCCATAAGACAAATAAAGGCCACATGCTTTTAGGCGCTTTGGCATCCTGATTGTTCGTGCCTGACCTAAGGCACTCGGTTAAAAAATTCCAGGAAAATACTTGCGTATTTTGTAAACTAATTTAGTGATTAAAATCTTGACCCGACCGGGGATAGCCAAAGGGCTTGGCCAAGGCCCAGCCAATTAACATAATAATGTTGATTTTTATTGCTGCGCCAAAAGTTTTGTCATTGACTTTCGGCCCAATGTTTGCTCAAGTCTCACTCCCTCCGGCAAGCCTTGGCTTGGAACCCGGAGCCATGATAATTTAAAGTGCCTGACTTTCCGGAAATTTGTCACGCTTAAATGTCACAGCCGGAGAGGCCTTATGCCTTATGCCCCAGCCCCAGCCCCAGCCCCAAATTGTTTGATGGCACATTAAGTGTCTGCTTGCTTGTGGGCCTGCCACAAAGTGCGCACTAAAACTTGATTTTTCTCTGCTCTTTTGCTGTCATCAAATAATTTATGAGGCCAGTGAAAATCACACAAACCGAAACCAGAAAGTGTCCAATATAAATTCCAAAAGAGCCAAACGAGCAAAGACAAGCTCCAGAGGTATTTTACACTCTTAATTATTTAAGTAAAACTTGTAATACTCTATAATAATGATTGTTAAAATAAATTAATTTCATGAATAAAGATTTCTGTTTTAATTTCTGAAAGGTGGAAAGATCATTTAAGAGCCAATGATGAAAATTTTAATTATATTGTTAATAAAATATTTATAAAATCATTGCTTATATGTATTACTAATGTTTAAATATAGATTTTTTTCATTATTATCAAGATAATTTAATAATTTTTTCAGGGATATTTTAAAGATACATTTACCTTTTTTTATTTTTTGTTCAATGATAATTTTAAATAATTCTTAAAACAGGGATTCCTGCTAATTTACTACCAATTTACTAGAGTTAGTTAGTTAGTTAGTTACAAAAATATTGTATGTGTTTCGAAATGAACGTTCAATAGGTATGACTTGAAATGTGCAGGGTATATTTTCACCTACGCCACTTCAGAATGCGTTTTACAGGCCATGGCCTCAAAAGTATGCAATAAATGTTAAGGCCAAGCTGAGCTGGCCAGGCGACTTATGACGTGTTTAAATACCAAGAGGGCTTAAATCCACCAACAGAAGCTACAGAAAAAAGCCGTTAAACTGCTTCAGGGAAAGCCAACAAGAAGGGAAACGACAAAATAAAAATCAGGTGAGCCCAAGTGATATGTTTATCACTTGGCACCGCTCCAAGTAAGCTGTCCACTAGATTTCAGGCAGTCGATACAAAAGCACAAGACTTCCCAGCAACTGGAGTTGGAGACTTTCTCCAAATACAGAGATGGTGAGCCAGACGGCGATTGCAGCCACTGCCCTGCTGCAGATGTGGGGCAAGTCCCTCTTTATGGCCCAATCGATGGTCGATTGCTCGCCGGCTCCTACTCTGGGTGGCAGCATCTTCCTGGTGGCCATTCTGCTGCTGATGTGGAAGTGCAATATCCTACCAAAGCTCTACCGGCAGCGTGCACCATGGATCTTTGCCGTCACAGAAATCCTGATCACTGTATTCGCCACGGAACTGATCATGCATCTAGCCTGGTGTACTTACGAGCGTATCACCTACAGAATGGTGCAAGTGGCTTGCTATCACAAGGTGTGGTGCGAGTTCGCACTGATGGCGATCATAACCGTTGTGGGGGCGTTTGCCTCACTCTGCGTGGTGGTCGAGGTGGTGTGCCCAGCTCGGATTAAGGACTCCCTTGGCGAGGTTCTGGACATCCTGCCCGTTCCAGCGGGTGCCGCATCCTTGTTAAATTACCTCCAGGATGTGCGTACTTATGTAATGGGAGTTATCTACTTTAGCCAGCTGACCAGGGAGCAGCGTCTCCTCGCCGTTCGAGCCTTTAAGCTGCAAGTGCAAAACTCAAAAATCACCAAAAATAAGCCGTCGAAGGAGCACCAAGAAGAAATGCCGGAAAATCCGATCCAGGAAGTGCATTCAGATGAGCTGCAGCAAAATTCGGGACAGGAGGAGCAGTCAATGGAGGAGAAGACACGGAAACTAGAGGATCTGCAGAATTTGCTGGATTTACAGGCAGATGAGTACCAGACGTCACATTCGGATCAGGATCAGGATTCGGGGCCAGAGTCGAAGCCGTTCGCCGAGTCCAACGCGTAAATTGTTTATTATTTATACAAATTTATGCCAGCAGCTGTTGCTATCGCCAGCCTTATTGTTGTCGTCCTTTCTTTTTCTTTTTTGTTTTGTGGGTTTTGGGTGTTGCCTTTCAGCTTTCGATTTTCCGGCATTCGGTCGTCCTCCTTTGTTTGCTTTTCATTTTTTGCTCCAACTGTTTTCCTTGCGGTGGCCATTTTAATGTTTGCCTTTTTTTTTGTTCGCCTTCCCCGCCGTTGCCATGTTAGCCGCAATTGATTTGCCGTAAATTGTATTTTTAATCTGTCCGACAAACGCTCGACATTCGATTTCATTTCGTTTCGTTTCTTTTTGGAATATGTTGAAAGCGATGCTGTTTGTATTTCGGCAGGGCCAATTGGATGCGGTGGCTTGGGGGAGCGAGGATGTTAATGAGTGTGTCAAGGGTGTTATTTATGCGATAGGTAACGAAGGCAGGTTAGGAAATCGTTGAAACCTTTTGATTTTGTAAGGGATATAATATACAATGTGAGTGATATATTTTTTTTAGAATTTAATTATATTTAAGCGGATAAAGTTTCCGAATTACCTATATACATTTCTTCATATTTAGTTTATATATATTTTTTCTTTGCTTAAAATAATATATTTATTTAAGAACAAGTTTGGTAAAAAGTTGGAAATATAATAGTCTAAATAAGTATAAATATATTTCTAAATATATTATTATATATAGTGCCGCTGAAAGCATCGATTGTGGCATTCATCGCTTATTTCAAACCCTGATTTATAGACATCCCAGCTAATATATTCATTGTATACTTCAGAAATTACTGAAGTTTTTATTAGAATCAATTTAAATTCGTAGTATAAATTAAAGTTTATTTTTCTGTTTACATACACTGACGAGCAAAACTGTAACACGAGTTCAATACTCGAACTTCAAAGCTCTGTATCTTCTGTTCTAATGTATAGATTCTAAAAATCTTAGTCTTGTTTTGATGGTATGTGTATACACTATGTTTCATAAAAATTTGAAGTCAATCGGTTGAGGGAGAGACATATGCTTCAGCCAAATGTAATAAAAGTCAAATGTTACAGTTTTGCACCCATTGTTCCAAAACTTTTTATTTTAGTTTATAAGCTATTTTAACCGTTGAAATTAATTTAATTACATATGGTTCACTGAGCATTGATACTTTTAAGTAATTTTTGCAAAGAAATAATTATGGGCAGTCAGAAAAAAAATAAAATTATTGATTTGCTGATAGCAGGTGAATCTGTTCGGAAAACGGCTGATAAATTCGGTGTTAGCCATATGACTGTGCAGTGATCAAGAGAACACTGTCTGGAAAGTATTCCAGTTAATTATTGTGGTCGACCAAAAATTTTAAGTGATCGCGACACACGCTATGAGGCCAACTTGGTCACGAGCAACCGCCACATAACGCGAGTAAAGCGGCGGTGATGCTTAATTTAAATGTCATTGCTTGGCCATTTCGACGCAGTCTTGTTTAACTAGGTCTAAAAGCAAAGGAGATTAAAATGAAACCAGCCCTGACAAAAAGGCACATCAGTTTGCGCCATAAATTTGCTGTAACTCATGAAAATCTGACTATAGCGGATTGGGATACTGTAAGTCCCCGTAACTTTCGTCTTAAAAATGAAAACTATTCCAAAATTTTTGGGTTTTCAAGGTTATATAGTCGAACTAAACAAAAATTGATCGATTTGAGTCAGATGATCGCTCCTGGTGTTGGACTAGAGACCCCACCAAGTAATGTGCGGCAGGCCGTCAAGCACGGTGGCGGCTCAATTATGGTCTGGGGGTGCGTACATGAAAACGGAGTTGGTCCGCTGGTGTTAATCGATGGAGTAATGCGGAAGGAACTGTATTTAAGCATATTACGACAAAATCTTCCAGTAGCCATCGAATATTTTGGTCTTTCTGTTGAAAATTGCAATTTTCAGCAAGACAATCCCCCAAGCATTTGTCCTATTGGGTCCAAAATTTGATATCTACACAAAATTTCCAGTGTATAAAGTGGTCACCAGAGCCTCCATATATGAATCCAATTGAAAACTTATGGAGTCCTGCTAAATCGCAATTCGCGAGATATGCAGTTCCTCCAAATGGAATGATAGAGCTTTTGGAGAAGACAAAGGACGTCTGGTACACCAGTCCCCCTGAATTTGTGCTAGGCTACAGCCAGAGTATGCCAAATTCCATAGGAGAACTTAAAAAATCAAAGGGGCTGTGGAAACATCATTAAAAAAAATATTAATAAAAATATTTGATCGAAAATAACCTGGGTGCAAAACTGTAACATTTGACTTTTTTTACATTTGGCTTAAGAATAGGTTTCTCTCTTTATGGAATGACTTCAAATTTTTATGAAACATAGTGTATACACATACCAACAAAACAAGACTAAGATTTTTAGAATCCATACATTAGAACAGAAGATACAGCCCTTTAAAGTTCGAGTATTGAACTCGTGTTACAGTTTTGCTCGTCAGTGTAAATCTTCTAAATCTCCTGTACATTTTCCTTTTCAAAACTTTCCCAGCCAACACAAATATTTTTGGGGCAATTTATTTGTAGATTTTTAGACGCAATCGATTAAATTGCAAATTGAGCGCTGGGTCGCTCTTCAAAGAGCGAGTAAATAAAAATAAAGTGCCAGAAAAAACAAGAGTCGAACATTATTTTGGCAATTGCTTTGGAAATACTAATATGATTGACAGTCGCCGGAATCGCATTAATGTCACTCCCAGGACACGTTCACCCACACCCACCCCTCCTGGATCCTTTGGCAGCCCCACAAATGTTGGCCCAGTGTTGAGTAATTGAATTTGTGCTTGTGATGATTTCATGTTGATGGCGTCGAGCTGAATGGGTTCGGAATTGGAGAACAAGGACGAAGTATATTAAATATTTCACATCTCACATGTCGGGCAGGAAGTCAGGTGTGTAGACGTTCACACTATTGTTTGTTTTCCGAGGGAATTAGATTAACTGCAACTGCATATTTACTCTTCTTTAAGGACCTTGTGCAGAAAAGAGTTGGATTTCGGTTCGAGAGTAAATATTATGGCATTACCATTGACATGGCTGGACTTACTTACCCCGAAAGTCACTTTCGAGTGAAATCAGAGTTCTGTGTACATAGCTTAGGAGATTATCTTCACGCACTCTTGGATTAGCCCAGCTGCTCTTGGTGCTCCCTGCATTATCCGAACTTAACTGCCAACTGTCGTTACATTCCACTCCTTAAGGATGCGTGATAAGGGGGGGACGCTCGTTCGGGGCTCCTGTCAACGCGGCGGATGGAGAAGAAATATGTGAGCTCCGGGATGGCAGCGTACATATGTTAGCACATTTTTAAATGTATTTGTGTCAGGCTGGGAGTCGTGACTGCAGTAAATTCCTGACTACCCGAAAATTCCCAGAAAACGGAGAATGGCAAACTTGCTTGAAATGAGCATTTCAACATTTTCAACTTAAGCAAAGGACCTCCGACAAAAAAAAAAAAGGAAACAGGAGGAGACAGGGAAACTGGCAATGCATGTCTGCAATTTTTTAAGCAAACATTTTATTTGCTGAAATGCTAGGAAAACACGCAAAAAAAAGGGGGAGCGAGAAAAGGACTTGAGACACACAACCCACATCAAAAGAGCAACTTCTGCATCTTTTCTCGGCACTCCATGTCGATGTTGTCCCCGTGTTGTTGTTGCCGTTGACATGCGCTCCTGTTGACATTCTGATACAAATCTTCAATAAAATAAAAGCAGCTCAAGTGGCCATAGCGTAAACAAAAGCAGTACTAGAAGCAGTAGAAAACTAAGGAGACAATCTGGTTGATGGTTGTGGGGAGAATAAACATGAGGCATAACGGTAAGTGGAGCTATGTAAAAAAAAAACAGAAGGACATGGCTCAAATCTGACTTGATGAGAGCCAGTTGATTGCCACTAACTTGGACAATTGTTTGATAAGGCAAATATTTTATTCAATGACCATGTCTGCTATCTACCTTTGGCTTAATAAATATTTTATATTTGGTAAATACAAAGCTTTCTTGCAAAACATTTACGTACTTGGATCTTACATGGACTATATTTGGCGAAGGTGTCAGATTTTTACTTTATCCTTGGCCTTCATGTTTATCAAATTTATTTAAAAATTATTTATATGGAAATATTTTTATACAAAGCTTGTTTTAAACTTATTAAAGACATATAACTTATGCTGTTTCTGCTGCCTCAAATGTATCTTCAAGATACAAACTAAGTTATTTGGCATACTATATATTATAAACAATACCCTCATTCAATCTTCAAGTTATCTAATAAAGTCTTCAGATATAATAGATCATCCCACCGATAGGCCTTAAATTTGTCACAATTAATTGGCCGCGACAGACTCTTTTGGTCCACCTAAGCCCCGTACAATCTACATCCAGTCTGAAAATCCTCCGTGACATCTGTCCCGTGGATCCTTTTTCTTGTTTTGGGCGGTGCTCTTGTTATCCCTGCCTGTGGTCAAGCATATGGCACAGGACACGGGACAACATGTTGTCCGAACCCTACAACACAGACACACTCACAGTCTCACCGGGAAATCACGTAACAACAACCACAACAATAAAAAGGCGACGGGGAGAGGGGAGGCGAAGAAAAAGTTGTTAGCCAATTTACTAAATGTCCAGTGTGTGTTGAATTGTTGAAGCTCGTTTGCCGCTTTGTGTACTTTTTCGTGTTTCGTATTGAATAACAAATTATTTGTAGCATATGCTCGGGGCCTCCAAAGGACCCAGGACGGAGGCTGAGTGGGCGTTTAACGGCTTGTGGGGCTAGCCTGCTCGGTGCGAGTCCTGTTGGTCGAGATGGATTTCCGAGATGGAAATGGAAAAGAGTAAATAAGTTGAAAACAGGAATTAGTCCACTTAGTTGTGGGATAGTTTAATGTTCTCCCCGGACAGGCGCATCGAAGGAGGTTAAAGTTCAGATGTAGTCAACTTTTCCGGCTCTTTGGCACAACTATCTTTTTTCGGAATGGAAAGTTACGTGAGTGATTT